CTTAAAGATTGGTATCCAAAACCTGTTGAAATCACTAGCGCACAGTACACTTTCTCCAGGAATGGATCAATATTCTCTAGTCCACTTTATCCTCACTGAACACCACATACATCCTTCTTTCAAATCCCAACACTTTAAAATTTCGGCACTTTCATGAGTCACATTAAAAACAGAGATGGTTAATAGAAATTATATCTAAGAGCAGATTTGCCCGATTTCAAATCTTCTTGTGGTATAACTTGAGTGTATTATTTATAGTGGCCCTAGTGGAACATTTGAAGATTCACTAAGATGATTGTCGTAGATGAGCATGTGCAGCGATGGGAACGTATTAAATACGTTACTCTGGTTTGTGTATCGGGTATCGAACGGCTGATAGCGATACCAAGGAGAGGGTTCACGAACGGCTGATATCGGAACAAATAAAAACAACGGGTTGACGACCGGCTAATAGCCGTACCGAGGAGGAGGCTCACGAACGACTGACAGCGGTGCCAGTCGGCGGAATGAGGAACGGACGGTAGTAGTGGTGCCAGTGGGCAGGCTGACCGACTAGTTCCGGCGCGGCACTGCGAGTAGCAGCGTGGCTCCTCAGGTCTGGTCGGTGGCACGGTCCACGCGAGAGTATGTAGAGTTCACCAGCGCTGGCGGCAACTATCCACCAGACGCCACTTTCACTCTCCACCGCCCTGCTGCTCCTGATGCCCCGCCCATATACTACTCCACTTACGATCTCACTCAAGGTCACAGCAGATCGTCAGCCCGTCGCTCGCCAGCCCGTCCGCTCCCTCGCTCAAGCACTGCTTCGAACGGTCTCGACTGTTATGGATAAGCCATGCAGTCTTATCTCAGCATCAAGTCTCGTGATTCTCGTCTCGGTGTTGTTTTGAGAGTTTCAAGGTCAGTGAACAGTGGTCTCGCAGAAGCGGTCACACAGTAGTGGTCTCGCAGTAGCGATCTTACAGTAAATGTCACACAGAAGTGGTCCCTCAGTGGTGGAATGCTTGCAGAAACTGTTAAAAATATACATCTATCAGCAGGTCAGAATTACGAAAGAACCTAAAAAAATAGTGCAAGGGTAACTCAAATGTGCATAACCTTTTAGCAAACTTATATATAAATATAATATATATATATATATATATATATATATATATATATATATATATATAACACACACACACGGGAGGGTCGTACCATGGTCCATAGATTGTCCATGTAGGGACTACGATTTGAGACTCATTTCCATCTTTCTGTTTATTCATCGACAGTCATTTATTACGACAATCTGGTCCCTGAGGACAAAACTTTTTGACATAGTTGAAATTTTAGCTAACCATAATAAGAGCACTGACGTTGAGTAGGCCTATCTGGCATGAGGCAGTATGTCTATACCAGCGCTCCACACTCTAAAATAGATAATAGATAGCTTACGTTCTTAATAGAACAAGTGTGTAGACTTTAACAGCAGTCTGAGTAAATACCTACATTTAGCTTAAATAAATCTTAAGTCATCTTGCCTGGAGAGGTTTCAGACATAAGAGGCAGCCGTAGTGGCAAGGCGAGGCAGTGTTTGAACAGAAGAAGCGTGGGTGAAGCAGAAGGCTGGGGGTATGTTACTGCATGGGAACTGGTTTAAAGACAGGTACAGCTGGTTTAAAAAAGTGACGGAGAGTATAATGAACTGAAGTGATGTGTGCGATGTTCATTGATCCAGTGAACCCAGCAGAAGTGCTCCGCTCCGCCCCACCGACCAAAGGTGCTCAGGATTCTGACTTGAAGAAAGCTACTGTGTAATGTACCTTTGCTTTTAAAATTTGGTGGAAAATCAACCATGAAGTCTTGCGATCCAATCTTTTACAGCCTGGACCGGTACACCAAGGGAAAGTTTCCATCACATGACCAAAATCATGATGGACCGGGACAACGTAGACCTAACTCCCGCGTCAGCAAAAATATTCTTATTTCTCCTGACAAATAAACCACCATCACCATAAAGTAATCAATAGGTAGCCTACGTTAACTCGAGTTTGGGGATATTTTTGATGCAGTAGGCCTACCACTGGAAAAGCAAATGTGTCCAACTAAGGCACCTCTACCGAATATTTCTTATCTTCATCTTTTCTTCTTCTTAATATTATTATTACTATGTATGTATGTATGCATATATATATATATATATATATATATATATATATATATATATGTGTGTGTGTGTGTGTGTGTGTGTGTGTGTGTGTGTGTGTGTGTGTGTGTGTGTGTGTGTGTGTGTGTGTGTGTGTGTGTGTGTGTGTGTGTGTAAAAATTTCACCACAATAGAAAGGAAATAGTTACGAGTGAAATGTTACGCGTTCACTTTATCAAGAACTCAATCTTCCCTGATCATGTGAATGTTAAAACCTCGTTCTTACTGCCTCCTTTCTCCTGGGCGCACATTTGTTTGTATATATGCAACTTGTCCAAACTGAATGAGAAACAGTGTGGCCATCGATTTCGTAATGTACCAATTACAGTGTATATATATAATACAATATATATATATATATAATATATATATATATATATATATATATATATATATATATATATATATATATATATATATACACACACAAGGAATTCGCAAGAGCAGGCGAAATACACACAAACACTGATCTCTGGCTGAAGGAGACTCGAACCTACGAACCTTGGAACAAGGTACGCAGTGCTATACCAATCTCACCACACTGGACCAATACCTTGGTGAATTCCTTGCATTGTTAAAATCTCTAGTAAGGCTGATGCATGCAGGGGATGAGATGAAAAGCTGTAAGCCTTCTACCTGAAAGCTGGCTGCCTTGGATCAACGTCTAGCGCAAGCTGGACGCCAAGGTATTGGTCCAGTGTGGTGAGATTGGTATAGCACTGGGTACCTTGTTCCAAGGTTCGTAGGTTCGAGTCTCCTTCAGCCAGAGATCAGTTATATATCACAACGTTCTGGATAAGTAGTAACGTTGTTTTTTCCGCAGTACGAAATTATAATTCTCTTAGTAGGATGAGCAGCCAGACTGGCAGGTATACCAACTTGAATTTTTACTGCGCTTTTAGGTACTCACCAGCAGCGTGAATGAACATAAACGTTTTTTAAAATGCCTGGTTAGACGAGTGTCGGAGATGGTGATTTATTTCTCAGGAAACAAGTGTCTCTTGAAGAGGAAACTGTTTAGTGGAACGAGGATCCCATTCAGTGTGTGTGTGTGTGTGTGTGTGTGTGTGTGTGTGTGTGTGTGTGTGTGTGTGTGTGTGTGTGTGTGTGTGTGTGTGTGTGTGTGTGTGTGTGTGTGGTTACATTAAATTCCTCTCTTAATATATTCCACTGGTCAACCACTATTTATTAACAATTTTCTATTACTCTTTCCGCTCCACGTTTTCCTGTATTTGTAACTGTGGCTTCTTGTTATCCCCGTTGAAGGCACAAAGAAGTCTTCTTTATCTACTCTTTAATACTCCTTGAAGACCTCATATGTGGGGGTTACTAAGTATTATCCAGAGGGCTGATGAAGGGTTAAGGTGGCACGAACATTTAGAGAGGATGGAACAAAACAGAATAACTTCGAGAGGGTATAAATCTGTAACGGAAGGAATGCGGCGTTAGTCGACAAATTACAAAATGCTATATACAGAAATAGACATTCTAATGATGCTGCAAAATATATCGTAATCTTATTACTTCATATATGTCTATTGAAATTGCAACTAATAAGAGTAAGCATCTTAGGAATGTGAGGACTGTGTTGCACATTGCAGCTGCATCCTGATGCTTGACCTAGCTTCAACATTCTTGTCTGGCAGCTGTTAATGATATACTGTAGCAACAAGGAAGGTTTTAACCCTCTGTTGGAACTGTTTATGAATTATCATGATTCGAATTACGCCTCTGTCGACCTGCAGGAGTGTGATGAGCAAGATTTATAGGTCGACTGAGCATCACACTGATGAGTGAAGGTGGTGATCTTGCAAAGCATGACAGTGTGAGTGATGGTGATCTCATAGAGCATGACATCAGTCACACTCACAACCTTCACAGTCACCATGACTCTTGACCTAGTTTACTATACCTGCTCAAATACGTGTTAAACACGTTATAATCTTCCACACTCACAACAGTCAACGTGGAAACAGGAATGATTGAGTGTGAGAGGGAAGAGAGGGGAGAGTGAATGATTGCGTATGGAGCAGAAATGGTTGAATGTGAGTAGATATAGTTGAGTGTGAGGAGGACCTTACAAGCATGGGCCAATGTACCTACAGTAGCACTAATCTACTCATACTGTGAAAATTATGTGTGATACCAAGAGGTCTTTTGAAAAAAAAAAAAAGAGACCCAAAATGTGAACACTAGAACATTTCACTAGAAATCATTTGGCCATTAGACGTACACTCGTCTACCTGGCTGTATGTAGATTTAGAGTGACCGAGGTCCTAGGATCGAAATATTTCTAATATCTTTTTCTATTCCTATGCTCAACATAAGCTCATAGACTTGTGAATGATATATATTTAGAGATTATACATACACATACATACATACATACACACACACACACACTCACACACACACACAAATCCAAATTAGAAATCTTGCAGCCTCTCAAGTAGGCTGAGTAGATTTGCAGGATACTATTGAACATCAGGAAAATTTTGGGCAAACTAATATCATGGTCTGAAAATTGGCAGGTGAAATTCTATGTGGAGAGGTATAAAGCCCTTGGGAATGAAAATACAGAACGTGGAAAAAAAATTAGGAGTCATAGTAAGTAGAAATCTGAAGACAACAGCATCTAAGTGTCCTCAGAGGCTGACATATTACATATATTTAAAAATGTATGAGTAACAGGAATCCAAAGGTTATTTTAGAGATCTATACATCACTAAAAAGGCCTTACTTTGATAATACGGTTCAGTTTTGGTCGATATACTAAAGAATGGGTACAAATACATTGAAAAGTACAGAGAAGGATGGCAGAATTAATCCACTGTATAAGGAATATTTCATACGAAGCTAGACTGAGAACCCTGAACCATTACTCTCTTCAAAGACCTAGAATGAGGGAAAATATCCTGGAAGTATATAAGAGAAAGACAAGCATGTAATGGAGTCAACAAGGTCCCAAGAGCTAAATATTTCCAGAAGAAAATATCCCAAGTGTTTGAACATGTGTCTTTTTCCATGACCTTTTTCACTTGACATCTTCACCTCGAGGACCTGTATCATCACTGAGATACAACTGACTGAAACACCTGTGTCTCCCATGTATGGTTCCCCATGTACGAAGTACACACACATACACTCTCTTACTAGCTAATACACTCATAAAAGCTAATGCACTCTAATACTAGCTAATACATCCCAACACTCACCTATTTGGACGATAATAATTTCACATATTTGGAGACCAGTTCTTTCGCGGTCAACAAGTGTGTGTGTATATATATATATATGTGTGTGTGTGTGTGTGTGTGTGTGTGTGTGTGTGTAAGTACAAAATAGGTAAGGTAAAACGAGTAGCCAGCGACGGGATGGAGGCATCAAGACAGCTTCAGCTCTCGGGATCGACCATCTTCAGAAGTAAAATCATTCAATGAATGTGCTAAGACTGATATAGGAAAA